CCCCAAAACCCCAAAACCCCAAAACCCCAAAACCCCAAAACCCCGCTTATTATAATTAAGATAGTATTTAGAAATATAATAATTTTAATATCACTAATGTCGTATATTTTGGAAATTGATCGCAGAAGAGAGCTCATCGCTGCCCTCCAGATTGATCCCAACATGCTTAATGATATTGATAGAGATAACAATAATGGAGATAATGACAGTTCTTTAGATTACAATTTCAATCCATTTGATAACAAAGACTTTATCCTCATGATTCTCGAGTTCTGCAGTCCCGAGGTGTTGCATAAGCTTTACAGAGCCAGCAAGTACATCCGCAAAGTCATCGCCTCCAACAAAGACTACCTAATCGCCATCTCCGAATACAAGTACACAGTGGTTTCAAGCAAGTTCGAGTACTTAATAAAGGCATACAAGGCGAGAGAAGACTCGATCCTTGCGTTTCAGATGGGAGTGAACAAGGCCATTCATCAGGAAGATGAGGACGAAGAACACAATGCCAGTCTTGGGACATTGTCAATGGGAAGCAACTACATAAACTACAAACTTAACAAGGCTAAGAGCCTATATGCCTTCCCTATTGTCCGTCCAAATACCGCCTCTCACCAAAACCAAGAAGAGACAAAGCTACCTCGCCAAGATGTCCCTACCCAGAGCTTTCAGAATAATTCAAATTCTAGAAATTCCCCAAGAAGCAGTCAAAATAGGCAACTCTCTCAAGAAGAGTACCTAGACGATGTTTTTGAGCGACAGAAATTGGCATCTTTACAAAACCTAATGGAGATCCAGAAAAAGGCTGAACAAGAATTCCCCGTCTACTCTGAAAGACAAAGGAAGAAATCCAGAAGAGTCAAGCGAAAGAAGAGCTTAAATGCAGATTCTCTTGAAAGAGAGTACCAAATCATCCAGTATAAAAGACAACGTTTGATTAATAAGAGAAAAGAGGAGCTCAACCAGAAGTCCTTGGATTTAATAAAGGCTCACGAAGTTGATATCCGAGGTATAGACTTCATGAGGATCTGAGATGACAAAGACACCTCTATACCTGAAGTTATAGACGCCTTTTATTCTTACAAAAAGATCAGGTATCAAAAGAGATTCCAGAATATGGTAAATATTGCTAAAGGGAAGGATCCTGTTGCTTTCATTGGCAATGATGAGTACATTCCATTCCACCTGATATCATCAATTGGCAAGAAGCTGTTCACTCATCCTTTTGGAGGCAATAACGGAATGGGAAAGTAATTCAAAATAATTATGTAAGATCTAGTTCCAATGCCATCTCTAAATAAAGGGGTTTTGGGGTTTTGGGGTTTTGGGGTTTTGGGGTTTTGGGGTTTTGGGG